AGAATCTTGTATCACTGACTTTTTAGTAATCTGATAGTGTTTTTGAGCCTGCTCTGAATCTGCTTAATTCTCACCTCGTCCAGAGTCAAATTTAGTCGACTCAGCAGTGGACAGGAAAGGCTGCAGAAGACGAAAGTGGAGTTTTTCTCCCTCTCTCCAAATAAAACTCTTGGAAAGGGACTTGAGACGCAGAACATTTCCCAGACTAAGATGGACCTTGGCCTGAACTGACTGACCTGCTCTTCCGTCCTGGGCCCTGGTGGGTCTCTCACGTCCCTCCTTCTCCCTCCCCTCCAGCCAAGCCCACCGTCACCATCTCCCCCGCCAAGACGGACCCCGGTTCCCCCAACACCATCCTCCTCTGCACCGCGACCGGCTTTTACCCCCTGGAGATCGACGTCCAGTGGCTGAAGAACGGGTGGCTGGAGAAGGAGGGCGTCGCCTTCGGGGAGGAGCTACAGGACGGAGACTGGACCTACCAGCTCCAGGTGCTGCTGGAGACCCAGACCCAGCGTGGGGACATCTACGCTTGCAAGGTGGGGCACGCCAGCCTGGAGGCCCCCCTCACTGTCCAGTGGGGTAAGCCTTTCCCTTTCTCCCCTCCCCTCCCCTCCTGGTCTGGGGACACCATCGTGCACAGAGAAGGGGTCATTGATGGGGTGCTGGAAAGACCCTCCCTGTGCGTCAAGCCAGAATGGCCCCCCCGGAGGAAGCTGGCCCTGATCCTGCTGCCCACACGAGGCTCCTTCTCCTTCCCCAGAGCCACGTTCCTCCAATGCTGCCAAGAGCAAGCTCTGGACGGGGGCCGTGGGGGCCGTGCTGGGGGTGGTCTTCCTGGCTGTGGGGCTCTCCCTCTACCTGAAGAACAAGAAAGGTGAGTCCGTGGGGGGCTGGGTGAGAGGTTATGGGGAGGGGACCATCTAGGGGATGCCTTGCATCTAGATGGCAAGGTGGGTCCTCTTGGGCCCCCGAATCCCAGGCCTGAGGGTCTCATTGGGAAATTGCTTCAGAGAGATTTTTCTTCCTGGAGGGGCACAAGGGACAGGAGACCCCATTTGGGGTGGTGGTGAAGGCACCAGGGTAGAAACCAGGAGCTGTGAGTCCCAGTCTTGCCCGGAGCACACGGCCCCCTGGGTGACCGGGGGCCAGCCATTGTCTCTCAGCCCCAGGAAGCAGGCAATGGCAACCCCCT